TTTGTGTGTCTTCTCGCCACAGGACGACGGGCGTCGTCCCGGGTCGGACACTCTCTCGCTCGTCGGACGAAGAACGTCGGGGAGATCAAGAAATATAGGACGCGTTAGTTTCCGAGGTGTCCACCGCAGGGTAGTGACGACTAATTTCATTTGTGTGGTACAATGTCGTAGTGGTGGACACGCTGTTGGTGTCCCAACAGTGTGGGGGGGGGGGGCTATTTTTCTCACAGGGTTCTGTGACTTTGTATGTTGGTTATTGTCTCGACATATGAATGTCTATTATGTACTTTTGTTTCGAATGGGCGGCGACGATTAACAATAGGATCTTCGTAATTCTCTCGTCCCTCTTTGCGGCCCTTTTTCTACCAACTTTCGTTCTTGTCTTTTGGGGGAAATTCCGACGAGAGCTGTTTCGTAGTCGGTAGTCTAAAAGCGCTTGGAAACTCTACAGCCTCAGGTTACCTTGCCGACATCTTTGCTCGCCTGGTAGCGCTAATTGGTGACGGCGCGGCAAACCGCAAGACGTTTCCTGACATCTTTCAGTCCCTAACAACTAGACACGATATAGTGATAAACGCGGATATTGGTGAGGATATAATATGTGACAGCTTTACACCGTTACCGGGTCTACGTTACGGCTACGGCGGAGGAAAAGAGATGTTAGCTCATCGAACATTGACCATCCTCAAGATTTGAACGTCCACTCTTATTCCGACTGGCCGCCTCGGAGGCTATGGTCTCCGTAGGACGGACATTGATTGTGCCGTGGAACGCGTGGGCCGATGCCGTAGGTGAAATTCTACTTTTCCAAGGAGTTCTGCGCGCCGCCGAAGAGTCCGCGTGACCTCGCGGTTAATCTTCGCAGGAATTGCAGGAACTTTCGGAAAGACTGTCGACTTGACTGGTCAATTTGAACTTAGAAACCCTGAATAGTCACGTCAGTTCCCTCGGTTGTTGCTCCTCTTCAAAAGTGTCTTTGTTGCCCACTTATTGGATGGCTACCAGGGTCTTTTGCTGGTTTGAGCGAAGGAACCGAATCATCGGCGCTGCCTGAGAGTTGCCGAAGGCTGAAAACCGAAATGACCTGCGGGTGATGGTGACTGGTTGCTGGAATGGGTCATACAGTGACCACCGGAAAGCGTTTGACGTCGTGGGGTAACGGGTTCAGGTGTCACGCTGCTCAAACGGGTCTGGTCCACTAGTTTTGTCCGCCGGACCTTACGGGGCGACATCCTACGGGACTGGGTACACAGTGACATGTGTGGATTTAGTAGATTTTATGGTGCCGTGTGGGAACGATTGTGGACGAAGCGGGAAGGGCTTTAGTTGCTGCTCCTCTTTATCCGCCGAATGGTCTAAATACGTACCGTGTTTGCACACCTTGGAGAAGGTTAGACCGGGCTACCTCCACTGTATTTAAGACATAGGACTGGGTTCTGCGTTGGTGTCGTCGAATCCCAGGGCGTGTAAAACGGACTTTTCTCTTCGTTGATTTCGGGTTGTTCCGGTCGTGACCTAGGGTCCAAGATTTTCACGCCAAGAGCCCAAAGCGAGTATGTTCCAGAAGTAACAAACAACCAAAAGAGGTTGAAATGGACCCCGGACGGCCTGGCGAAGTTATCTCTGCGGCAAACCCTTGGTATGCTATGAGGCGTCCGCGAACCGACGCCACCAGGTCCTTGAGAGGGTAGGAGAAAAGTATGACGATCGTCCGGGGGATTGTACGCACTGGTTTTGGTCGGCAGCAACCCGCGGACTTTTGGTCACGGACAGACATTTGTTGAGGGACGACGGTTGTTGTTGGTCCGGTTTGGAAGAAAGGTCCAGTGCTAAGTTGAGTAACGTTCATACTTGCATTGTTTCGCTGAAGTCAACCACCTTCTGGAGAGTTCACGGGGGACCGGTAGACACCTACCATTCCCGCGAACCTCCGAATGTACGAAAGTGTACCTTCAACGAGCTATTAGACGCGAATTTATGTACACTTCATTTACCGGATGGAAACAGGTGAGCCTTACTGAAAGCGCACTATGGTTTCGTACGCTTTTATTTGACTGAGTCAAAGAAGCCTGGTGTCTGAATCGAACTTTACGAACATAAGGACGTTACCTAATTTCGGCGCTCCTATTGTACACCTGACGTGTAGTGGCAGTCGTCCTATACTTGGAAGGTCGGAATCTGATACCGCGTGTACCAGGTTTGTGCTAGTAGTCGTTTCGCATAGTTTTCCCTCTTTGACGGCCTTATCCTCTGTCTCCGTGGCAACAATTATCAAACCAATCCCAAATGCGGCAATTGACTGTTCATACTGTTCAGAATTATTCTTTCTTTGTCCCACGAAGCAATTCCGGCGACCCGGTCCACATCTATTATAGGCGTCGTGAGCACAACATACGAGAGTGAGCGATTCAACTGCGCGTCTGCAGTAGTACTCGACACACAAGTTATGGGCGAAGAGACGTACCGAGACAGACCTCTGTTCTCAACCTTCTTACTACGCAAGCGGTTGTTTTGGCGAGTGGCACTCCGCTGCGTAAAGGAATGGTTCTGGGGGAGAACATCTTCTATGGGACTACCGACGGTGACTATTAAGCGAGTTGCCCCCCGCTCTGGTACCCACTCAGATTCTCGAGGACGTTTCATTGTAGACACTGTTAGGTATAATAAATGATTGTTTTGGGCAACTCCGGTGTGGAACTATTGTCCTTGTGTTACAAGCAGAGTCAGCTTGTAACACTATCTATAAGGAACCACAGTAGACAAAAGGCGTATCTATAGCAACACGTCATGTTTACGCTGCATTTTCTATGAGGTAAATATTACCCGCTGGCAGATATAGGTATAAATGGCATTTTTTTGGCGGTTTGTTTAAATCTGACTTCATATTGACAAATGTTAACAACAGAGGGTGCTACATAACACACTTTCAGGAAAAGTCACGGACTGGGAGACTTTAATATGTTATTGAAAAAAGGTTACATACAATCAAAAAACAGCTGCGGGTAAAATTTACCCGTTGGCGGTTCTAGTGTTAAAAAACCTGAACATCGATTGTTGTGACATTGTTAGTGAGTGCGGTATATTTTTTGCGTCTGTCCAGTCCACTTTCCTCCTTCGTCTGTGTGCGGCCGCGAGACGTTCTACGATGTGTTTGTTCCCGCGCTTCGACTATGAGTTCGGTCCGTGGCCTGATTACGTTAATTATGTTGCTTTTAATTGTATACGTTTTTTTTAAAAGGGAAACACATGTTTGCTCTTATTTTATTTTGATAATCAAAAATAAAAATGTTGGTAAACTATATTTTCTCACAGTAATTTTTGATCAATGAATGGGTGGGCCCAGTGACAGAGTGGGTGGGCCTAGGCCCAGTAGGCCCACCCATAACGCCGCGGCTGCTGTACTTCAACATCAATGCATACGAATGTGCTCGA